TACCTGCTGAAAGTATAAGTTTTGTCCTTCTTAGTCGATAGCACAAGATGCAAAACCACATTACCAACAGAGCTGCAGCAATACAGGTGCCAATCCAGAGCCACTTACGTGTGGGTGTTGCATCTAGAGATATAGTTAGTGAGAATGCATATTCTAAAACGAGAAGCTCAATATATTTAGAAAGATTAGTACATAGCGACACCTACCAATCTTTTTCTGAGATGGTGAATGTGGTGATGATTTTGGCTGCAAAACAAAACTTGTATTGGCAGTGAGGTCTTCAATGAACTCACAGTCCACACTCCAAAATTCGCATCGTGCATCCGTAGTCTGATTTTGAAATGATATGTCGAATCCAAGGCAGTCACAATCTTTCCAACAAGTGGCCTTACAGTCAATAATAGTATCGGTACCAATCCAGCTGGCAGGTCTTGAAGCATTTATACTACTAGAGTTGATGATCTTGAAGTAACCTTTTTTGATCTCAAAGTCATCACCAAATTTCTCAACACAATCACTTGGGCGGTCCCTTTTCACACACCCTCCAACAATGTTATAGCCATCACAGTACAGTACTTCTTTAATATCATAATCAGCGTATGCCCCATAGTCTGTAAGATCCCCTACGGGGTTTAGAACCCATTCTGGCTCAGCATCACTTGGATCATTTTTACTAGTGTAAGTAAGGTAGTCTTCATTTTGATTTGAAACAATGCTAAAATTGTACCTCTTGTTGGACACGTCAGGCAAAATAAATTCAAATCTCCCATCAGAAAAGGCCCCGCTAGTCCAATAAACCACCCCATCTTTCTTGATTTTCAATTGGTGTCCATTTGGGTCCCAATCAAGGCTGAAAGGCCCTGGGGACAGCGAGTTGTTGTCAGATCCACGCGATAAAAGAGACCAAATGTGGCCATTTATATGGTCAACACCCAATTTCATGCCTGGTAAAAATGTGTCTAGTGGATGATCAAAACTTTGCCAAAACACCCGGATCGTTGATCTATTGACAGAGCTCACTTCTTGCAGGACGAAGTTGCCCGAATCCAAAAGGGTAGCCACAACACTAGTACTACTAGTAGTGTTTGGAGCAGAAAGGATAAAAGGCTGTCCATTTTGGTGAGTAATTTTCAATGTGTTATTGAAGTCCAAGGTAAGAATTGGAGATGAAGAGGGTAAAACAGGTGAGTGTGGGTTCGCAATCCATGCTTTGTTTGCTTCAGTTTTGATGCGCAGGATAGCAAGAAAGCTCATTTCAGAATTGCCGACAGGTTTTGTAATGAATTTCAAAGTGAACTTGCCTAATGCTGATACCAAGGAACTTGTGGAATTGAGAGTGTCCCCTGGTTTCAGTGTGTCTATTGCATCATGGCAAGTCCACAAAGTTGCAAAAATGATCAAGATAATTGTGTGCTTCATCATCAAGCCTGAAGTCTTGAATGATCACAAGGCCAACAGTACTTACCTTCTCTAGATGATCATGACAACTAGTCTTTCTTCCTCTGTATTTTGCCTCTTTAATTATGTTTACGGCTAATAAAGTCTTCTCTTGACCCAAAATGCAAAACACCAAGAAAATCTCTTTCACTAGTTCATTAAGTATTTAAAAAATTACCCATCAATGATATGTTTTAAAACCACAAAAAACAAAAAGAACCAGGCAATACGAAAATTTCTTGAAAGTTAGATCCATTCAAAGTGAAAGTTAGATAGATAATTATAGGCTGAGAAAAATACCTCTCAAGTCTCAGCTTACTTCATGAAACTGCAATGATCTCACAGAATAGTTGGGAAGAGAGAGGGAGAAACAGAGACAGAAGGGTTGGAGTGAATTAGTGTTAAAGATTGAAAAACTTGAGAGTCCACGATCAATTTGGTTGGTGCTAAACAGAGAGGACACTCCATGCATGCAACAACAATAGTAGGATTTTGTTGCCGAATAGCAGCGGCAATTGTGCTCCGCTTGTTTGTATCTACTACATTGTGAGTTCCAGTACTTTTCTAAATATGTTATACAAATGTTTAGCCGGGGAAACAGAAACAAAAGTATATAAGTTATACAAAGAGGCAGTAAAAAGAAA